TTAAAATCAATCAATTAAACCAAAGTTGAACACATTACTGGTGTTGATTGGCTTCTCTTGACCTCAGGTCAGCTGGGAGGAATTCCAATCTGCTCGTAGCAAAAACTTTCTGACCAACTGCTCTTTATTTGGTCAAATGAGTAAGAATAGAAGAAGTTCCACAGGCTAGGATTACAAATCTATGGTCTGCAATGGTGGGAGATCATCCCAGCCTGAATCCAGCACTCACTAGTTCAGGAGTAGGTTTTCAACTACTCCTTTGGCAGCCATTTGTTGTACCTACACAATCAAAGAGGCTGGTTTGTGTTTGAAAATATTGCAGGACATTTTAGAATTGTTTGATCCTACTTAGGAAGCAGGTTTTAAGATGGATTGGTGCATTATCTTGGAATAAATTAATGTGATCTCAATCTTTGATAAACTAATTGTTGAGCTCTTTTTTGATAAGTGTTCTTAGCATTACTTTATTTCTAATATTAGGTAATTTGATATTAAGTTTTTCGTGTCAATTTTGGCATCAGAACTTAGACTAGGACATCTCCTAGGAGAATCCCACCTTGCTAAAATCAAGAACCAGCTTGGAAGAAATACATAAGAAAATCAAACAATTGCAAACAAGATTAGTGGCATTCGAAATGAAAAAAAAGAGAATCAAATTCAATTCACTCAGATGATCATCATTTAAACCTCAAGATGGCTAACACTCCCCTTCAAGCTTACAAGAATCTTTCGATCAAGGCGAATCTTATCGGAAAAAGAAAACCAATAGAAGACATCAAAATTTTGGGGTTAAAATTGATACTTTAGAAATCTGGAGTGGTCTAAATTCCACAGACTTAATAGATTGGCTTCATACTGTCAAATGTGCATTTGATTAAAAATATTCTTAATGATAGAGGTGTCAAATTAGTGGCTATTAAATTGAAGAAAATAGCATCCATTTTGTGGGAGAACCTTCGAAGAACTAGAGCAAGACTCTTATATAAAACTCCATAACCTTCCACAACAATCAATTAGTAGTAAGTAGATCATATATAAGAATTTGGACAATTAATGTTGAAATGTGATGTGCTCGAACCCGAAGATCATGCCAGCGCTCTATTCATAAGAAGATTACATTCTTTGCAAATGTCATACATCTACAATAATAGTTTATGCTATTTGATGCGACAAAATTTACTCTAAAGTAGAAATACATAGGCTATACCAAGAATTTTTCATCTATAATAGAACAATATTTTCAAAGAAATGATTCAAAAAATTGCGAAGAACCATCATCATTCAAAAACATCTGAAAATATCGAGGCTAGCCAACAAACATTAAAAATTATTTAATAAAACGCATCTGATGCTTGAGATTTGGACGCATTACATTGAAGTGTCCAAATGGGCATGTCATAAGTAGAGAATGACCACCCACACAATGAAGAAATTGAAATTGAGGATACCCTTGTCGATAATGAGGATGAATAATTTTTGTATTATGATAGAGAATTTTTAGTAGTTTGTTTTTTAAGACTTCTATAGATTCCGAGTTCGATTGACATCAACAAATCTTTCATGCTAGAAGCATTGTGCAAAATAAGTGTGACAAGATTTTTGATGGAGGAAGCTGTAATAATGTTTTCTCAAATCATATAGTCAAAAAACTAAATCTAACTCTTAAAAAGCCTTCTATTCTTTATAGATTGATGTGCTTAGAAAATGAAATGAAATCAAAGTCAACAAATGATGTCTAGTCCAGTTATTCATTGGAAATAAATTGCAAGAGGTGTGATGCAATGTGATTACCATGGATGCTTGCCATTCTTGATTAGGTCTACACCTTGTCAAAATGATAGGCATGCCATCTATGATGATTTTAAAAACACCTCTACTTTATAATATGAAGGTAAGAATGTATTTCTATGCTTTTGAAGGAGGATATTAAAGGTAATGAAACCGAAACAACAATCACCATTATTCTTGCGAGTAATGCAAAATTATCCATCTGCAGATATTCTCATAGATTTGGAAAAAATAAGAGAAGAAACGCATAGCAAAAAAGTGTCAACTTTTACTACAATCAAATCAAGATCTTTTCCCTACCAATCATAAGCACATTAACTAGGTTGAAAACATAATTGAAAATAAATTGGATATTCAAAACTGAATCTCCAATGCTCGTAGTCAAATATATCCTTTTACTAATACATTTCGGTCAAAGTTAGTTTGATTTGAGATGATTAAAAGAACCTAATTCAAACAAAGGTTGTTCTTACATGAAATAATTACCCCTACCAAAATAATCATTATTACAATAATTTCAATCTATTACAAGTGTAAGAATGTTCAAGGCATGGAGGACAAGTCCCTTACAGCCTTGAGAAAATGACAGCTAGTGATATAAGGGACTTCTATTGATAGAAATATAAAGGAAGATTTACATAGATACCACTTAAATCCCTACGGATTAACATATGTAACACCTAAACTTCATGTTTTACATAAATGCCACCTTACCTAGAAAAAAAAAGATGTCTTTCTCTTTTAAAAAGTTAAAATAGTGATATTTTTTAAAGTGATTTTAAGCAATTGGGTGGTACAAATATAAAAAGTAAAGTATAGGCGTTAGATATGTAAATACATGGGAATTGGGTGGTGTGTATGTAAATGCCCTAAAAATAAATAAACAAATTATATAAAGAACGCGTTCTTTTCTTTTCTATTTTTGAAGAGATAATTTAATTAATTGGGATGTTAAAAGTATAAGTATTGCCTATGAATACCAATAACTTAGATGATCGGGGGGTTCTTTCGTCAGTCTGTCTCAGGCATCTCTAGTTTGAAGGAAGGATTTCCCCTCACCTTGGAATGGATTTCCCTTTATTTATGAGAGCGAGGAGGCAACCATAGTAGTGACTATGACCTTGCCAAAATTAGTTCAAGACTTATTTTCTATTTCTCCATGAAAATTGTGCAGAGTCATTGCAACCCAGACCTGAGAGGAGCCATATCATGAAGTTTCCTACAGTTTATGCTGTTCCAAGCATCACAAGACAAGGCTGGTCATCGCCTATTATTGCAAGTTTTAACTTCTCTTGATAATTCCAACATCTAACAGTGGATAGCTACAGCCTAGTAATTCAATAAGTCTTCTAAATTTGTTTTTCTGTTAGAATTTCACTGGTTCATTATAATCCAAAAAATTCAATAGAGCATTGCTATATTTTTCTTGTTTCTACAACTATGGCTGAACTCCAACCCATTCAAATCGTATAAATCTGAAGGATGAAGCTTAATTGAAGATGGTTATCAAATTGTTGAACCAAAAAGGAGATCGCTTCAAGTTCTCTATTTTCTAAAACTCTAAACTTGGTAGATTAAACCAACCACTTTGATTGTGTAGGCACAACAAATGGCAACAAAAGTAGCAATTAATGTGATCTAAATCTTTGATAAACTAATTGTAGAATAACTCGATATAAGATTTTTTGCTTATTACTGATAAGAAGTTAGCGATGTCAACGATTGCTAGAAATTCAGAATAAGATTATGCTAACCAAGCTATATAAGATCATGGTTGTCAGTACTTGAGAGGTGGATGAAGTCAATCAAGCATATAAGAGAGCCCTCCCCAAGCCAATGATGAGGCGGCCTATAATGGCACAACAAATTTACTGTTCTCACAGTATGATAATAATTGTGCCATGTGTATGTGTGATGGATGACAATGAGATTACCATTTTTAGAATATAACATCAGTAACATATTATGATTACATATAATTCTAGATATAAAGATTGGATGTTTATTTTTTATATTCAATAAGAGCTGTCAGGCAAATAAGAGATGCATGTATTTGTTGGATGAAAGTACGGCTCCATTAGACTAGTGATTCAATTTTCTTTATGTACTCACCATAGCATATAGAATTCTTGTAGACAAAATTTTTAGTTTATGAAGGGATGTTCAACATTGTCTATCCATCAATGTTGATGACAATACTGGTCAGCATATCATTTTAAGGATTCTCTTGTAATTAATTGTAATGATAGTTTGTCCTATTAATTTTATGAGGGAAAAATCATCAAAGTAATGCAATCACCAATCAACAGAGAGTGCATATTGGACTGAGACCTGAGATAGAGTTAGCTTATAAATTCCTAATAAATAAACATCACTTGTGGTACGTTAGTATGCACTTGAATATAATGAAGATTTAATTTACTTTTTATCTTCATTATAAGTAGTCAAGCCATAAAATCTGCTTCAATTAGCAAATGAATGTGTTGTTCCACCAAAAATATGGGTGTGTGAAGGATCCATCGACCTAGGAGTTACCAGCCTTAACAGAAGTTGCTGATCTTCAAACATGTTATCTCACCACCGATCATCGTTCTTATTGGATAACAATGATTGACTATGTGAAACTTCTGATTATACACCAATAGGTGTGGGTGATTGTGCATTTGTGAGTGGGTGGATTATTCATGTGTAAGTGCATATTGCAATGCTATCTTACATATTGATAGCAAGAAATATATTCAGGTTAAATGTTTGATAGGTATAACATTGTCACTTTCATGCATTTAAATTAATATTGAAGATTGATACGAGAAAAAAATATTCTTAAGCTTGCCATATTCCTCAATGGCTAAAGTAAAAGATACTTTATTTTGAAGTTTAGGTCATTCATTGTAATTTCTCAAAAATCATGATTACATCTTCTTTAGTTGGATTTTAATTAGATAAATGTTTAGCAAAATAGAAGAATAGAAGCTTACAAGATGACTTTGATTGTATAATTTTCCTGTTTAATGCTTTGGCTACCGATATTCAAGTATCTTGTATAAATTATAGCGCAGTGTAACATTGCATCAGAAATTTCTTTTTATTGACTATTATATCAACAGGAACCAGACATGTCGTACCAATTATATGCCATATTTGTGCAGGGACTTTTAAAATGTCAAACTATAATACAAAGTTACTCAAACCATGGGAATATATCATCATACCTTTTCCAAACACCTCTTTGCATTGTCATAGTCATGAATCAAATAATATGCATTAGCAAGATTAATCCATAACGGCCCAGATTTAGGATCAATTTTTGTTGCTGCTAATAAGCAGTCCCTTGCCACAGTTGCAGCTTCAACTTTATGCAGATAAGTACCTTCACCAGCATTGGCACCGGGTCCTAAAAAAAGAGATGAAGTAAAGATGGATAACCAAAATTGACTCAAAAAGGATGAACAATTACCTAGAAACCCATTTCATTGTCTAAGAAGCCCTATTCATTCTTATTGAGTTAGGATTTAATTTCTAAAAGTTCAATTGCATGAATAACAGATTAAAAATTGTTAAGGCGCTCTTTTTGGGTTAAATTTTTTTTTTTTTTTTTTTTTTTGAAAACAAAAAATAGGAATCAAAAAAAGACATTGTTTGCTTATCTGTTTTTTTTTAAATTTATTTCTGTTTTTTATTTTTTGGAGGACTTAATGGAGAATAAGGAATCATATAGCCGACCCCACTTAGTAGGAAAAAGGTTTTGTTGTTGTTTTATTTTTTGAAGAAACAATTCTATTTTAAATACTAAAAAAAAACATGTTTTTGTCTGTTTTTAAAATACTAAAAACAACGAGTCCAGTTGTTTATCGCAGCTTTCGACACACTGTCAGCCGCCCGCCGCCGTCGACCCGTCGCCGGCGTTCGATGCAGCCACACATAGCTGTCGTTCGCTCACCTTCGCTGCCACCTCCCACTGCCGCCGCCCTCCCCCCCCCCCCCGCCCGCCGCCGGCCCCCGGCCCCCTCCAGCCGCCCACCCCCCAGCCAATCGTCGCCGCCCGCCGCCTGCCGCCATTATCGGTCAGCCGCCACTCGCCATCACCACCTCAAAAAACTTGAATATCATTGTTTTCAAGGAAAAAGTTTCAAAGTCTTATCCTAAGGGTTGCGGATGAATGTTTGACAACTCAGAAGAATCCTGTCAAGTTCCCAAACTATCCTATGATGTATGTTCTTTGTCAACGGTTTAGTTGAGGTTCATCCTTTACTTCGGGTTTTGGGTAGTATTAATGACCGTCTCTGCAACACAAAGTTAACACACCCTAATAACATAAAAAGTAAATCTAGAATACCTCAGTCTTTTGTCTTCAGCTACCCTACAAAACAGAGTTGTATAAAATATATATATTATTATTTGGTGATTTAGCTATTTACTTTCCTTTTTTTTATTTGAGACAACCCAGTCAAGATACCCATGGCTTTCCATAGTCCCAGGATTGTCAGGTTATTTATCTACTTAGTCTAAGAGATGGTCAAACCTACTCCGACAAGAAGATTCCTGTCAACAACCCTGGGTTGCGTCGTCTAAGAGATCTTCGTAGATTCGGGTAGCAGGGTTAAAATTGCATTAGATGATCTTTGTCGATTAACTTTTATATTCCTTTTCGGATTTTAGTGTTTAAGAATTTTAGATCACTTAAGACTTCTTAGCCGATTAGATTTTTATTATTTTGTGTTTTATTTTTTGATGTTTGAAATGACGCGGTCAAGATCTCATAGTTCCGTCCTCCTGGGGTCATAGGGGTTTGTTGTTTGATTATTCATAATTGACTGGAAGATACTTTGTTAGCAGTCCTGGATTCCCTCCTCCAAAATAGCTTCTCCAACTAGGTTATATTTTATGGTTGAAGTTTACGTTTTAGTATTTTTTTAGGGTGAATTTTATGTCGTGTCTTTTATGTTTGTTTATACCTTGACCCAAAGTGTCCCGACTGAGGTTAAGCATGTTTTTGTTCTCGTATGAGAAGTCAAACATTCCTTAACCTCAAGTCACCTAAGTCTGAGTTGAGTTCAGATTAGCTTGAATTAGATCAAATTGATCCAAAATGAGTTCCCAACAAATTCGAGTTAGCTCGAGTTCACCTCAGATTAATTTCAAATTAATTCAAGTCAACCCGAGTTTAACAGAATTGATCCAGGTTGGCTTAGTTTGACTGAGGTCAAGCTAAGCTTAATTGACTTGGACTAACCCTGAATTGATCCAAATCAAGCTTAGTAAATTTTGAGCTAACCAAGGTTAAGCTGGGTTGACTCGAGTTAAGCCTCCTGAGTTGGGTCAAATCTAACCTGAGTTAGACTTGGAGACTAAGCCACTTTAGATTTGACTCTTCCTTTAATCAAAATAAGTCTACTTTAAGTTAGATTTAAGTCAATTTTTAATTAAACTCGATTGAAGTTTAAGTTAAATTCGAAGTAGAGTTCCAGATCAGATTTACCAGAGTTAAGTTGGATTGACCCGGGATATTAAGTTGATTTGGGTTGACCCGAGTTAGGCCAAGTAGACCCAGTGGCCTAAGTTTAATTAGGTTAACTCGAGTTAGGTCAGGTTGACCCTGGTGATTAAGTTGATTTGGGTTAACACAAGTTAGGTTGGGTCGACTCGGCGGTTAAGTTGATTTAAGTTAACCAGAGTTAGGTCGCTTTTACCCTGTGGTTTAAGTCGATAGGGGTTAAACTGAGTTAGGTAGGCTTAACCCGGTGATTTAAGTTGATTTGAGTTAACCTGAGTTAGGTCGGGTCGACCGGCAATTTAAGTTGATTTGTGATAACCCGAGTTAGGTCGGGTCGACCCTGCGGTTTAAGTTGATTTGAATTAACACGAGTTAGGTCGGATCATGGGCTTGGGTTTTGGATTTTAGGACTAAACCTAAGTTAGTTTCATAATTCATCTAATTAAATAATTAGGAGAATTATGTGGTGGGGGGTGGTCCCAGGTGCCAAATTGACTCCTAGGTGCTTTGATGTCATGACCACATTGAGTGGGTTTTATAGCAATGGGGTCAATTGGTCAAGAATTGACCCAAAATTGGGTTTGGCCCAACTTAGTTGGGTCATCCATAGTGTCACTAAGCCTTGGGGTCAACTTGGTGTGTTAGCTTTTCAAGGAGATTTTAGGGTTAATTGGTGGTTGAGAAGGCCTTAAGTGAGGCTAGGGATCAATTTAGGTAGACCCCTCTCCCATTGAAAACTTTGGTGTCATGGTGGTCCCTAGGGTTCATAGGAGGTTTCTAATGTGTTGGGTTTCCTATGTGACCCAGGGCATGTCATACCCATGGGGGGGGGGGGGCTCTCATGAGGCCAAAACCCTAAACCAACCTGACCAGGGGTTGGAAGTTTGGGCTTATCCTGAAGAGGCTCAAGGGAACATAACCTTGGTCTGGGGGTTATGTGCAGGTGAGTGAGTGGACCCTCACAAAAGTGATGTTAACAAACGGACCAACAATATGTATGGTATACCCAATAGATAAGCTACGCATATTGGCGTTAACCGAACCAGGGTATGGAAGTTTGGGCTTATCCTGAAGAAGCTCAAGGGAGCATAACCTTGGTTTGGGGGTTATGTGTAGGTGAGTGAGTGGATCCTCATAAAAGTGATGTTAACAAACGGACCGACAATATGTGTGGTTTAACCAATAAATAAGCTACGCATATTAGTGTTAACCGAACAGGACAGTCAGATTGCGGAACATTCCAATATATCAAGAATGTGGAGGATCGGACTCGGGTCAAAATTGTTGCTGAGAATTCTAGGGACAAAGGTTGATAGAGAAGGTTCACCAGCTCGAAGAGGAATGTCATTATCCAATAAAAGGGGGGCTTATATCCACTTCTGGAACCTGCTGGGAAAGAAGGGTATTAAGATCCATTAAAGGGCCTTATACCAATTCTCAAAAGGTAGTGTTGTGTCCCTATCTCATTAGGAAGAAAGGTTGATGTTCTTACATCCTAACAAAGAAGAAGACAAGTAAGCTAAGGGAAAGTCGTGATTTCGTGTCAAGAGGGCCTTACATCTAACTAGTAATAGAGAATGGACGTATTCCATTAAAGGCCTTATACCAACTTTCAAAAAGAACGATGTCACATCCCTGTCCCATCGGAAAGGAATGTTGATGGACTTACATTCTAGCTGAGAGGAGAACAAGCATGTTAGAGGAAAGTTGTGATTCCGTGTCGGGAGGGCCTTACATCCAACTAGCAAGAGAGAAAATAAGTTGTATTCCATTAAAGAAGGTCATATACCAACTCTCAACAAGGTCGAAGTCATGTCCCTGTCTCATTAAGAGTGTCGATAGGCTTATATCCTAACTAAGAGGAAGACATGTAAGCTAGAGAAAAGTAGTGATTCCGTATCAGGAGAGCCTTACATCCAACTAGCGAGAGAGAAAGATGTGCAAAAATCATACGAGTTGAGTTCAATTAAGAGTTGTTCTGAATACTTGACATTTGCTAGGTATAGGCTACCCGAAGGAAATTACACATTGCCCACAGTTATTTTAGTTCGTGAAGTCGTTAAAGGTTGGTTCATGAGTTTTAAGTTGTTTGCTGGGTATAGGCCACCCGAAAGAAATTACACATTGCCCATAGTTGTATTAGTTTGTGATGTTGTTAAGGTTTAATTCATTTTATGTTTGTTGTTTTAAGAAATTCTGACCCTTCAATTAAGGTCGGATTTTACATCGGCTCATGGGTATTTGCTTCGGCCTTTCCGGACCTGCACAAAAAGTTGTTGGTAGTAGAACATTAATTATAGCAAAAGATGACTTGTAGTCCTTTTCCATCATCAAAATGTCCAACACTACAACAGTCAATAATGTCATCATGGAAAGAGATATCAACTAATGTCAAATGATGTCCATGTCATGCAATGCCCTAGTATGAACACTCCGTGATATTTCCCCGAGCTTTATGTCTCGTCGTGATCCCCCTTTGCAACAGGACCTACTATAAACACCTTGCACTCCGAGTTACTATCAGAAGCAAGCTCTTTCAAGTACGCCACAGTGCCAACAGGGTTATGGTAGCTCTAGTGGTTGAAGTCCCTAAGGCTCTGGCTCGGCTTATAGTGGACAGGGCGCTTGTACGGGAGCATCCTTCTAAGTGTAATGGAGATTCTCTATTGGGCCACCCCCCGAGATGTAGTGCTTCGCTAGATCAGCTCCATTTCTTTGCAATATAAGGACAGATCTGAGTGGAAGGGGTGTATTTATCAGATCCCTAAACCCTCTGGGCCCCACAATCTGTAGCTCCGTTTCAAAAATTATGAAACACTCGCTTAACAGCGAGAAGGTGCAGAACAAAATTTTAAAATTATGATGATCAATGTGGGGCAGAATACAGTCCCCTTCTTCAA